TTCTTTCTCCTCTTCTCATTTTATGTAAAGATAAGAAGTCTCCCCATAACCCCTTGGTAAATGTGTTTTCATTTCAGAGACCTTTGACATTCAGGGATGTGGCCATAGAATTCTCTCAGGAGGAGTGGACATACCTGGACCTTGCTCAGAGGGCTTTGTACAGGGACGTGATGTTGGAGAACTACAGGAACCTGGTCTCCCTGGGTGAGGATTACTTTTCTCTAGAAGTCAGGATCTTTATATTTTCCCTGATTGCCTCTTGGGACCCCCTGCCTTGCTTGACTGAGATTGAAGCTGTGTTGATTTAGAAAAGCAAAACTTCATAATGTGCCTTACCTGCCCCCTTTGGTTAGATGTTCTGTCCCCTTCATGATCTCTCAGTGGTGTTTCCACAACTGAAGTGCACAAAATACCTTATGGCAGACTTTTAAAATATCCAGTTGCTTGTTTTCTACCCCTGTGCTTTTGATTCAGTGCTTTTTGGAAGAGAGCTAGACATCTGCATCTTACAGTGTTCTTTAAACGTTCAGAAGTAAGTGTTCGGTGGATGAATTTGTGAAATATTTTATTAATCCACCTGTAATGTCCTCTCTCCTACCTTAACACGGGGTTGGGATTCTGGAAAAGCATTCGCACATCATGTTCCTTTCTTTTTATAAGCAGGAATCTCTCTTTGTGACCTGGATGTTATCTCCATGTTGGAGCAAGGGAATGAGCTCTGGACTGTGGAGAGTGAAGTGAAAACAGCAAGAAACCCAGATGGAGGGGAATGGATCAAGGGTGTGAACTCGGGTAAGAGCTCAGGTGGGTACAGTGGAAGCAGCACCATTAATCAACGTGTTAGAAACTCTCAGCAGGCAAGAGAGTTCTGTGGGGAAACAAATGCGTGAATCCTGTGAGCTCTGAATGAAATCTCTCTTTGTCCCCACTTACCGCTCTGTTCTTCAGATGTGTTATAGTTTATCCTTTTGCCCTCCGGTGATTCTGCAGCTCAAACGTGGACAAAGGCAAGGTCTTTATCATGATGGACAACACCTTGTCATCTGGCTTCTGTGAACTCTTTGGTTCCCTGACTCTGTGCAGCACAGGGAGGGCCATTTCCAAAAGGTCTCTTTCCCTCGTTGTCTTTTCTTCTGTACTTCATTCCATGTGATGCTCAGTTCCCCGTCCATATAGTCCAGCGCTGTGGCCTCTGGAATCCTGATGCCTGGACCTGTTCAGGTTCCACCCCATTACCTTTAACCGGAAGAACCAGTCAGGAGATGGGAAAACACTGGCTGCTCTTTCTTTGTACCTGGGACCCCGGAAACTGCGTGGACATGTCTCAAGCTGTCTGCTTGTTCATATCTGTTTGAGATAAGAAAAAGCCATGTGTTTTTCCTACTGTCACATGCCACTCAACACAGAACGCTTCACTTCTGGTCACTAGTATGTGTGGGGACTTCTCCCCACCAATCCATTTTTTGGAGGGACACCAACTAGGTGTCCAGTAATTCAATTCCATTCTGACCCTATCTATCTGGATTTAGAGTCAGATGCTACAGGCGAAGGGTTGAGTCCCCAGGACTGCCCCTGACTTCAGATGCCAATCACAAGTAGTTGATTGTCACCTATCCTTATGACCAACTGCATATACTTCGGGGTTCATGATTCTGTTCTTGGGTTTGATTAATTTGCTAGTGTGGCTCACAGAACTCAGGGAAACGTGTACATTTACTGGCTCATTATAGAGGATATTTTAAAGAATACGCATGAACAGCCACATGAAGAGATTCTCAGGGCAAGGCACATGAGAAGGGGTGGGGTGCTCCAGGTACAGTGCTCTCCAGGCATTTCCGTGTGTTCAGCATTGGACGCTCTCCAACCCTGTAGTTCAGGGATTTTTATGGCAGCCTCTTCACAGAGCCTTGATTGATGTTAACTCACTCTCCAGCCTCTCTTGCCTTCCTGTGAGGTGGTGATTGGGGCTGAAAATTCCAGGCTTCTAATCATTGCTTGGTCTTTCTGTTGACCAGCCCCCATCCAAGAGACCACAAGAGTTGTCTTATTAGGAAAAACCATGCTTCTGTCACTCAGGAGTTTCAAAGTGATTAGGGGCTCTGTGTCATTACTGGGGAAGACACCGGCATACGCATTTCTTCTTACTTTGCAGGGTCCCTCAGCCATTCTTCAGTTCTGCTGTGTCCACCCTTTAGTGGTGTGTGTGTGTGAGAGGGGAATAGGCTGGCTCTTCTGAGATTGTGATTCAGCAGAATGGAAAGACAGTTGACAGAACGGTCCTGTATGGGATCCCCCGTTCCACGTGGGGACCGTAGCTCATGGAATGATGCCTGTGGTTTTATGTCCACTGTCATTTGTTTAAGCCGCTGCTGCTTTCATCTTGCTTTTGCATCCTAACATGAGGTCAGTTTGGGAAATTATTTTATGTGTATCACAGAAACATTTATATTCTGTTGGTTTTTTTTTTTTTTTGAGACAGAGTCTCACTGTGTTGCCC